AATACAGCTGAAATGCCTTTTCTTCATCTTTTTCCGTTCCAATTCCATTTTGATAACAGCGTCCAAGATTATTTTGCCCATTACTATTTCCACCTTCAGCAGATGCCGAGTACCATTGAAATGCTTTTTCTTCATCTTTTACGGTTCCGATTTGGTTTTCATAACATCGACCAAGATTATTTTGTCCATTTTTATTTCCACTTCTAGCTGATCTTAAATAGCACTGGAATGCACGGTTTTTATCTTTAGTGGTTCCGATTCCATTTTCATAACAACTCCCAAGATTATTTAGTCCATTGCCATTTCCACCTTCAGCGGATTTTAAACACCATTGAAATGCTTTGTGCTCGTCTTTCGTGGTCCCAATTCCATTTTTATAACAGCGCCCAAGATTATATTGTCCATTGCTGTTCCCATTCATTGCGGATTCTAAATACCACTGAAAAGCTTTTCCCTCATCTCTTGTAACTCCAATCCCTTTCTGATAACAGTACCCCAAATTATCCTGAGCAAAAGAATTTCCGCCCTCAGCAGATTTGAGGTACCATTGAAACGCCTTCGTTTCATCTTTTATAGTTCCAATTCCATTTTGATAACAATTTCCTAGATTATCCTGTCCAAAATTATTCCCACCTTCGGCTGATTTCAAATACCACTGAAATGCTTTTTCTTCGTCTCTGGCTGTTCCGATTCCATTTTTATAACAACATCCGAGGTTATTTTGACCATCAGTATTTCCACCCTCGCCTGATTTTAGATACCACAAAAATGCTTTTGATTCATCTTTATCAGTTCCAATTCCATCTTTATAGCAACGCCCAAGATTGTTTTGTCCATTACTGTTTCCATTTTCAGCTGATTTCAAATACCATCGAAACGATTCTTCTGGGTTTATCGGAACCCCAATCCCATTTTCGTAACAGTATCCTAGATCAACTTGCCCAAAATCATTTCCACCTTCAGCCGATTTAAAATACCAATAAAACGCTTTTTCATCATCCTTTGTAGTTCCAAACCCATTTTCATAACAGTACCCCAGATCATCTTGACTCATATGATTTCCGCTTTCCGCCGATATGCGGTACCATTGAAATGCTTTTATTTCTTCTTTGGCAGTTCCGATTCCATTTCTATAACATCGAGCAAGATTGTTTTGCCCATTACTGTTTCCACCTTCGGCTGATCTTAAGTACCATTGAAATGCCTTCTGATCATCTTTTAACGTACCAATTCCATTTTCATAACAACGTCCGAGATTATTCTGTCCATTATTGTTACCACCTTCGGCGGATTTTAAGTACCACTGAAACGCTTTTTCTTCATCTTTTGTTATTCCGATTCCATTTTCAAAACAATAACCCAGATCATCTTGCGCCAAACTACTTCCGCTTTCAGCAGATTTTAAATACCACTGAATTGCTTTTTCCTCATTTCTGATGGTCCCTATTCCATTCTCATAACAACGACCAAGATTATTTTGTCCGTTAATATTTCCGCCTTCTGCAGATTTCATGTACCATTGAAAAGCTTTTTTTTCATCCTTGGTGGTTCCGATTCCATTTTGATAGCAATATCCTAAATTGTCCTGACCAAAACTGTTTCCACCTTCTGCCGCTTTTAAGTACCAATGAAACGCCTTTTCTTCATTTTTGGCGACCCCAATTCCATTTTGATAACAATATCCTACATTGTCTTGACCAAAACAATTTCCACCTTCGGCTGACTTCAGATACCACTCAAATGCTTTTTTCTCATCCTTTATAGTGCCAATTCCATTTTCGTAACAACGTCCAAGATTATTCTGACCATTATCATTCCCACCCTTGGCAGATTTCATGTACCATTGAAAAGCTTTTTTTTCATCCTTGGTGGTTCCGATTCCATTTTGATAACAATATCCTAAATTGTCCTGACCAAAACTGTTTCCACCTTCTGCCGATTTTAAGTACCACTGAAACGCTTTCTCTTCGCCCTTTATTATTCCAATTCCATTTTGATAACAATGTCCGAGATTATTCTGCGCATAACTGTTTCCACCTTCGCCAGACTTCAAGTACCACTCATATGCTTTCTTGTCATCTTTTACAGTTCCAATTCCATTTCCGTAACAACGGCCAAGATTGTATTGTCCCGAAAGATCTCCACCTTCGGCAGATTTAATGTACCACTGGAATGCTTTTTCTTTATCTTTTGTGATTCCGATCCCATTTTCATAACAATATCCGAGCTTATTTTGTCCACTGCTGTTTCCATTCTCAGCAGACTTTAAGTACCATTGATATGCTTTCTCATCACTTTTTGTGGTTCCAATTCCATTTTCATAGCAGCGTCCAAGATTAACTTGTCCATTACTGTTCCCACCCTCAGCAGACATAAGGTATAACCGAAATGCCTCCTTTTCGTTTTTCTTGGTTCCAATTCCATTTTCGTAACAGTATCCTAGATATCCTAAATTGTTCAGATCAACATTATCTTCTCCTTCACCAGATTCTGAGTACCGCTGAAAATCCTTTTCTTTTTCTATAGCTTCCCCATTGCTCTTTTCGTAATAACTTTGATTGTCTTGACCTGAGGGATTTCCAGCTTTTGTGGATTCTAGATTTTTTTGAAATGCTTGCTCCTTATCTTGTGCGATTTGAATTCCATTTTCATAATGATATCCGAGTTTATTTTTTCCATCAACATTTTTTCCCTCAGCGGATTGATGAGGGTTTGGTTTAAATTCTTTTTCGGTTTTTTTTATAATTTCGTCTTCATGGCGAAGACCAAAATTACATTGGCCTGATGAATTTACACTTTCTGCGGGTTTTGAATACTGTTGGAATACCTTTTTGTCGTCTTTTGTGATTCTACTTTCATTTTTATAATAATTTCCGCTACTAAATCTTTTATTTTCATTATGTCTATCATATTCTTCAAACTCTCCAAATCCAGAATCCATTTTTTTGTCGATAAAGTTCTAGTAGGTATTTTCCCCGTCATCCGTTACAATAAATTTTTGTAAAAGATCTACATAGTAACACCACATTTAATCTTGTCTTTTACCATAAGTGGTAAAAAAGTAATTATTTCTAGGTTACACGCTTTGAACCAGTATTTGGGACGATTAACGAATTTTATTTTAACTTTTCTGTATGTTTAATACGTATTTTAAAATGTTAAGCGTTCACATCGAGATTATGATAGTTCAATGGAATGCACGTTTTAGTGGATGCATTTTCAATTCAACAACCTGCATAATAATTGTCAAGGAACGATCGAACCTTTTTCGACTTAAAAAAACAACAAAAATAATGCTGAAAATCCGAAAAGATATAATATATAATGGCTAGTTTATTTGACCTTGATTAAAGCCATAGTTTAGGATTTAGCATAAGCAGACTGCTTTTTTATAGTGGACATTATGAAATAGTTTTTACAAAACTTACTTTATTAAGCAGACAATAAAAAGAAGACTTTTGTAACTTGATAGTGCACTTATTGTTATTTTTAGCTTATATAAATCGCTCCATGTCGTTATTGTAAAAAATGGATAAAGCTTTTCGTTGTAATGTACGTCTATCTTTATCTAACTATATACATTTTTATCTTTAATTTTTAATAAAAAATTCAAAATAAACAAAAAAAAAAAAATTCAAAATAATAATAATAATTTTTTTTTTAATTTTGTAATAAAAATATTTAGAATGAATCAATTGATTATATTTAAAACAATTAATTAATTAAAAAAATTTCTATCAATTTTTTTGTCAACTAAAATTACTATTCTATAAATAAAAATAAAAAAGATTTAAATTTGTAAATAAATATCGTGATCAAAAAAAAACAAATGAATTTTAGTGAAGATAAATAAAAATTTTTTGTAAAATTTGTTTTTAAATTAAAAAAATTATTAAAAAATTTTATTAAATATTATTGTTAAAAAAATCATATAAAATATTGTTTTAAGAAATCCCTTTAAAAATCTAATTTAAAAATATTTTTATTATTAATTGTATAAATAAAATATTGTTTCATTTTATTTAATTTATACAATATATTATTAAAAAACAATCTTTTTTATATTTAAGTACAATAAATTAAATACATGTTAACTTATTTATAAAAACCAGATAACTAATATTAAAAAAAAATTTCAAATAATATATTTTGTCAATAATATTAAATAATTATAAATTTATATTTAAAATTAAATATTAAAATATTAAAATTAATTAAAAAATATAATTGAAAAGTATAATTAAATGGATTATAGCTATATCAAATAAATTATTTGGAACTATAAATAATATGTTGTAATATATTAACTAAAATAAATTTTTATTTAGCTTAAGATTAGATTTATTTTAAATTTATTAATTTAAATAAAAGTAATATTTTTATTTTATTTAATTTTAATAAATAAAAAAATAATATTTAATTGCATATGTTTTTTTATTTTGTTTTAAAATAACATTCTATAATGAAACTACAAATTTATTATCAACAAGACTTTGAGACTTTGATATATTTTTATTATTGGAATCCATGAAACAAATATTTAAAGTTTTATTTAATAAAATTAAATTTTCTATATTTAATTTTATTTTATTTACTTTTTTATATTTTAAATCAAATAAATGTAATTTTTCCTATATTTTTTTGATATTAGACAAACTCACTTATTTTAATGATTTTCTTAATTGATCTTCAATTTTCTTATTAAGAAAATTTATAAAATATACCATATATTATATTTAATTATTATTATGGAAAAAGACGGCAAATTAATTTCCAAAGAATTTTTATTTAAATATGTATGGGCAAAAGTTAAAATAATTATTATGTTAGCAAAACTTTATAAACTATATTTTAAAGTAAAATTTTATAATTGGTCATTTAAAGCCGTGTCTACATTATGTATGCGTACATTCAAAAATATGATCCCCAATAGTTAAGAACTTGTATATGCTAAAGTAAAACATATCAAAAAAGAATAATTCTTTTACACGCATACCTATCTAAAAATCTACTATGCCAATTCTATTTTCAATCATTGGTGCCACTGTAACCCAATCTTTCATAAAGTTTGCATTCTTTTTTGAATCTTCATAATTTTCTTTATCAGCATCCTTCATCAGTGACTCCATACTCTCTAATGGAATACCTTCATCACCTTCGCTACCAAACACTTTTACAATATCACCCATGGACTTACACAACGCTTCTATAATATTTCTCTTTGAAATGCGCTTATATGCCGTCTGTTTTCTCCTCGTCTCCGCCAGCTTCTTCCAATGTGTTGCAGCTTTGAGAACCGCCTCTTGTGTTTTCGACTCGCAACTCATATTAAATTTCATTGCGCTGACATAATACAATCCTATAAAATACCTCCTAATTAAGGTGCTTAGTATGACTCCATTCTCTTCGTCTATCACAAATTGCGTTTCCGGTTGTGCTAATGCTTTATAGCCATCATAGCCAGCCGCCATGTAGGCTCGCGTGCACACGGTGTATGTTTTATTCATGTCAAGTTTTCCGATAATGATATGTGGTCCTGGATCCTCGTCATCAATATCGGCGTCAACTGTATTAATCGTATCTCCTTCATCATTTCCAACGTCTTCTGTTGATGAAGAACGTCGTTCTGTGAGCCATACATTTCTTAATCGATGAAATGGCTCCGCTTTTGGATTATACTCAATTTTAAGCCCACTAAATATGGGAAATCGTCCCTCCTGTTTAGGAACCATAGATATCGCGCTTTCCAATGCATCCCACAATTGTTGTCCGCTAATTCTTATTACTACCGACGGATCTTCGAACGGAAATATTTCCAAAAGGTCACCAACGGTAATCTCCCCGGGCGGATAAATACAGTCTGAACGAATGCTTCCGCCACACACGAGTGAGCAATCAATGTTGTATGGAACACAGGGTTGATAAGCATATAACATTAGGTCAGCTACAAAATTACCGAACGCAGTTTCTTGCGTGCGGAGCATCGTGGATCGACAGTCCCATGCAGTTATGGTATAGGCGATAGGTTTAGACATTTGAGCCGCAATTGAAGACGTTGAAGACTTTATCAAATCAACAAAGTGGGGATCCTCTAAGATATCAGACGTAATTTCTTGACGAGTCACTATATAACAATATTCGATTATTTATAAGTTCATTATTTGATGGCATAATTATCAAACCACATTTAAAAGACATACCTTTAACGTTCTTAATATTTTTTGATCCAGTATCGCCATCGCTTATTTTCTCTACGTCAACCTCTAAAATGCTCAACTCTCTAAAGTCTGTTCCGCTTTTAATTATATATACGTCATCATCACCTTCGCTGCCTTGTATCTCTTCCCGTTCCCATCCATCTCGCATTTCACAGCCTTTGCTGACATAGTAAAAGTGGTCATGACTATTATAAATTATTTTAATAAAGGGATATATTACTTATCGTGTTAGGTTAAAGACATAACAAGAGCCTATATTAAGAGATTATACCCGCCGAGCACTAGATCGATAAAGCCCTTGCACTTATTAGCTAATAAGATATCATTTTGCAATCTGGAGTGCGAGAGAGCTATAACCAAATCCACTGCATACGGGCCATTTGGATCACGTAATTTGATGGCAAGTTCTTTCCCGACTGCTATGAAATCTTCATATTGAAGTGTTTTTGGAAGACTATAGGTGTAATGGAGATCAATAAGTTTCAACCAAACACGCATCGAGAATATGAAAATAAAATATAATTAGCAACTCACCCAGGTATAGTCTCTAACCATTCTCTATTGTATAAAGAAAATACGACAAATTAAATATCCAAAAGAACGCAAGGTTAATTCTTAAAAAATATCTACAATACTCTCAAAAAATAATAATATGTTGCAATATAAAAACTATGACTTATAATAAAAAGCTTACTTTTCCACCAATCCTATAATTCCAAGCTTCAATCCTCCCTTTTCCAAGATATGCCATCTTTTACCACCAGCTGCCGGTTCGCCCGACTCTTGATCCAATACGTTAGACAATAGCCACGGGAATTTAGTCATTCCCACCAGATTCTCGAGTACAGGTAATCCAAAATCGAAATCGTGGTTGCCAAGACATGCGACATCAATTCCAAAATCGTTCATCGTCGGAACCTATTATTACAGAACGAGTGTTATATAATTTCTGTATGTAAAAATATTGAAAGTCTTAATAGAATGAAGCATATCAATTTCATGTTTACCATATGTTCTCCTTTACTGACGGTACTCTCTACAGATGGATTAAACACATCACCGCTAAATAATACGCATGAACTATCCTCCCCAAACCTCTGGCGAAATTCTTTTATGGCGGTAGCAAATCTTGCCGCTCCGCCTACGGGTTCATGCTTCTGAGGAGATAGATGATAGACATCGTTAAAATGGAGAATTTGTATACATGGCATTTCTTTGCTAATCAATTACTAGCGTATGACTTAAGCTTATATATCTGTTACTGTGGGTAACACAGTAATGTTAATCGATGACCAAAAAAAGTAAAATTATTCTTTTTACAGTATCGTAAACCTCGTAACGTCAAGGCAAAAAAATTTTTTTTACCGTTTTCCAAATTTAGTCGTATCGTTATGTTTGTTATTTAAACTCTACAAGTATTAACTGGTAAAATAAAAACTAGCGACGATTTACATAATATAAGCCTTTGGTAACACGTAAATAGTTAGAAACAGAAGAGCGAAAGATTTTACAACTTTTGCTAATTAATTTTCGTTTATAATTCTTTTACCCGTTAATAAAATGAATGAAACTTGGAATGCCTAAATGATTAGATGAAAAAATATATTAGTAATACAGTACAAAATGAACACCCTGTTCTAGGCCTCACAACAAATATGTAATCAAGGTTCGTGTCAATGTTACAATTACATATCGTCTATGATTACATTTTTAATAATGAATAAATGAAAAACAGATTAAATATTTCCAGGTTAAACTATTTTGAAATAACGGAAACTCGACAGCTTAAAGAAAATGGAAATAATAAAAGTTTACTTTAATTAAGAAAAAGAACGTTTATCTTACATGAAGAGAAATTTTTTTTTTATCTTTACATTAAGTGAGAAAAAAGCAAATAAGAAATAAGAAATAAAATAAATAACACTTGTAAAAATAAAAATTCAAAATTAAACCATCATTTATCATTTTTTTTTCTAAAATAATTAAGATTGTACAAAAAGATTATTTTTAATGAGAGAAAAAAAATTTTTTTAATTAATTTTAATAAGTTTTTTTATATTTATTTTATGAAATACTATAAAACTTTGATATATTATAATATTTTTTAATATTTTTTTTTAAAAAAAATTGAATTTAAAAATAAATATTTTGTATTGTTAATTAAAGATTTATATTTTTTATAATATTTTAAAATTTGACAATAAATTTTTTCCATTTATTGTTATAAAAATTTTTAATATAAATGTGAATAAAATATTGATAAGATAAAATAATTTTTTTTTATATCTTTAATATTTTTAAAATTATAAATATCTATAATTTTATAGTATACATACAATATATGCTTTATTTAAAAGTTCTTGAATATTTATTTGATATAAAATTGTAAAGATATATTTTTTAAAAATATAAAAAATAAAATATTAAGTTTTTTTAATATTTTATTAATAAAAAAAAAAAACTCTTTCCCACAACACCTCCATCCGTAGAAAATTGCCTTTTTAGGAAGCTTCTTTCTTCCAAG